TTATCCGAGGCTATCATGTCGGTTGTCTCGTCAATGAAGGCCGGGCATCAGTGCTTCCGAGCTCTGGGGACCAAGACAAGTGTTTTTAATATGAAAGTCAAGAAATGCGCTGCTCAGCCCCCCCAAAACCTAAAACCCGAGGCCCTAAACCTAGCCGACTTAAGTACATGTCGAGATCTGGATGGCTACATGGAAATTTCGCACACGATGAGGCACTATTAGGTCAGGTTTTAAGGATTTCTGTTTCGGGGTTTAGGGTTCTGGGCAGTGCAGCAGATGGTCGGATCTTGATCACAATCAGTTTCAGGCAGGAACCTACCCGAAACCCACAAAGGCCCATGTCGTCAGAATATTGAGAGCCACTCAGGGTTCACACCCGAACCTTATTTGATCATTTGGGGTCGTTAATCATGTTCACGCAGCATACCCCACACCCCAAACCTTTGGAACGCTTACAAAGGCCTTGGAAATCTTGCATTTTCCCACTATGATGGTAGAAAACAACAGAACCCAGAAACACTTCAATAAAGATTCCAACCCTCATACAAAAACTGCAATAACACACCAGAAATCCCTGAATCCCTAACCACTCCTCGCCTCACTTTGGAAGGCCAGGGGATGTGCCGGATTTCAGGATCCCGCACTTCGTTTCGAGATATCGAGCTCGAACGAGCCATGGCCCGTCAAGGGCTGCTTCACAAGGATTTCCTTCAAAGGGTTCCTTAAGCGGTTATATCAGGATTCTACCATAAGGATCTATTCAGTTCAGGGTTTTGTACGGTTTGGGGTGTGCTAGAGTTCAGTGGTCGAGTATCCCGTACTTTTTGGCTGCTCCAAGCTGTCTCCTGGAGGGAGTAAGGTTGCCCAAGGCTGAAACTTGTAAGCCCGCAACCATTTGCCTTGGACTTCTGGTGCCGCGATGAAGTGTCTGGGTTCAGGGGATAGGCTTTGCCCTTATGATGTAGGGTTTGGGGTCAGTGTAATTAGTATGTTTAAGGCTCAGGACGTAGAGTTCAGCATTTCGGATTGACTGAAGCCAGAAAATCTCGACGCCGCGCCTTCGCCCAGGATTGGTGTGCCGGCTTTCCGCCACTGTACCGGCCGCTCGCATGGCTATGCCCAGAACCTTGGCGTGCAACTATATTTTGCAGAAGGGCCTAAAGAATTCACGACACCATTCCGGTGCAGCCCGTTTAGTTCATGTCTAGCACGACCCAAACTCGAAGCCCTTTCGCAGTACTTCATGCTTAGTTAGAGGCTCTGACTGTCCTTGATCATAACGACCACAGGCCCTTCAACTCCAAAAGTATAGCATTGAAGCCCCAGTCACGCATTCACGAAGCGCTGGGCAAGCCGATTGCAGTTCCATCCTAAGACCTAAGAGTGTGTCTATGTAACTATAGCGTATTTGCTTGGCGTGACTGTCCGTTGGTGAGGACAGTGGAGTAGAACCCTCGTGTCTAGTGATCTACCCAGACCTTCCAAAATCCCTTAATTAAGGAATATACCTTAAATCATATTAGGGATCCTACTATGATTTTAGGTATATTCCTTAATTAAGGGGATTTTGGAAGGTCTGGGTAACCCAATCATAGTGACAAGGCGAGGGCATCAGGCAGTTAGGCAACGACCTTAATTCCAGTTCCCCACTCTGCACCGACCCTACACCGTCAGGCTCATAAATAGCCCAGAAGCCTGATCCAGAGCCTTACAGTAGAAGCCAGAAAGTTGGAACATCACTATCCTCATGCCCTTAAGGTAAAGTAGAGGGAATCGCAGCACTAACCATCCTAAATCAATGTTCCAACTTTCTGGGGTTTACTGTAGATCATGAGTCTTTCAACCCTTCGGGCAAGCTTTATATCGCCATCTTAGATGCACCCAGAACCAGCATGGAACTACAAAACCCTGGGGAATTCTCTTAGAAGCTCTAAATCTAAAGCCTATAAACCTTAAAACCCCCAACTACGGACTTAGAGAGCCCCTAAACCCTAAACGCGAAACCGAAGCGTCAGGAAAGCTGCGGGTGCCTTGGGCCAGAGAGGCCCAGCTACTGTCCCAGCAGCTGTGGCGTCAACGCCACCACCTAGGGCAACGAGAAGCCGGTGGAGATTTAGGGCTTTGCGCCTGTAGCGTGATGAGGTTTAGAAGTTAAGGGTTTTAGGGTTTAAGGGTTTAAGGGTGTTAGGGTTTTAGGGTTTAAGGGTTTTAGGGTTTAAGAGTTTAAGTGTTTTAGGGTTTAAGGGTTATAGGGTTCGGAGTTCAAGGGTCATTGCGGAAGTTAAACTTAAACTTTAAATCCCAAGGCCGAAGACTGAGAATCAGGCGCTGGAATAAGACATTAAAGGATCCTTAAGGGAGGGTGGTTCAAGGGGGGAGGGTATAAGGAATCCTTAGGGGACTGTAAGGGGACCTTAGGGAGTACTAGGGAGAATTAGGGATCACTAGGCTATATACCCCTCTTGGACCCCCCTCCCTTAAGGATACTACAAAGACAGGCATCGATCCCAAATCTTCAGGCGCTGTTTCACCACATCGGCAAAGACCTCCGAGCTTGCTCGTGATTTCTCACCCGAAACGGAGATTGCGAGGTTTGGAATTCTGAACCCTAAATTCTTAAGGCGCGTTTTTGGAGTGAGTTGTACGGGTTCAAGCGTGGAGGCTTCAAGGTTTGTGTCTTGAGGTTTAGGGGGTGGGCTCTGCAGTCTTTGCACTGCGGTATTTGGGATGAATGATGCTGTGGGTAGGAATGGTGATTCGGACAAGGGCGGTGATGAGGACGCGTCTGACGAGGCGGATGATGATAGTGGTGATGATAATGATCATGGTGATGGAGATGATGATGATGATGATGATGATGATTGATGTTGATGAGGTACCGGTGATGCCGGCAGGCTTGCTTTGTCGCATGACTGTATTTCTAATAGCTGTATCCCAATGCCGGCTCTGATCATGCTGGGTCCCCTTTAACCGGCTTGGCGTTCAGGACGGTGGCAAGGGATAACGGAGGTGTTTCCGCCCGGTGTTGCATTTAGGACGGTGGAGATGGAGGTGGCGATTGTCTTGGTAAACGGGCCCAAGTAATGTAGGAACCCTTTAAAGGGCTCTATAATGGTTACTATAAGGGATCTACAAGGGTAGTATAAGGGATCTATAAGGAGTCCTTGTGGCTCGGCACTGACACTGACACGCTTCACAAATCCCCGGAGCACATCCCGGAGCCTCCGAGACCTTAAAACCCCACGAAACCTCACCTTCGAGCAGCAGCTGCCCTGGGTTTAGGGTCTAAAGGGAACTCCAGAAAGTTGGAATATGGAATAATGGCAGGATCCCGTATATTTTACCTTAAAGGGGCCATGATAATGATATTCCAACTTTCTGGCTTCTACTGTAGGGTTTAGGGTCCCCAAACCTACAACACATAGTAGAAACCCAAAAGTTGGAAGCCCAATGGCCTCAATCCTGAAGAGTAACGTGGAGGGAATCCCAGCACTATTTGGCCTTAATCCGGTTTCCAACTTCAACCCAGAAGCTCCAAGTACTCCCTATTATAGGACTTTAGGGTCTTTTTACAACTTCAACCCAGAAGGTCCAAGTACTCCCTATTATAGGACTTTAGGGTCTTTTTCCAACTTCAACCCAGAAGGTCCAAGTACTCCCTATTATAGGACTTTAGGGTCTTTTTACAACTTCAACCCAGAAGGTCCAAGTACTCCCTATTATAGGACTTTAGGGTCTTTTTACCAACTTCAACCCAGAAGGTCCAAGTACTCCCTATTATAGGACTTTAGGGTCTTTTTACAACTTCAACCCAGAAGGTCCAAGTACTCCCTATTATAGGACTTTAGGGTCTTTTTCCAACTTCAACCCAAGAAAGGGACTCCACAGTCAACTCCTCCCTATTATAGGACTTTAGGGTCTTTTTACAACTTCAACCCAGAAGGTCCAAGTACTCCCTATTAGGACTTTAGGGTCTTTTTACAACTTCAACCCAGAAGGTCCAAGTACTCCCTATTATAGGACTTTAGGGTCTTTTTACAACTTCAACCCAGAAGGTCCAAGTACTCCCTATTATAGGACTTTAGGGTCTTTTTAGGTACCACAAACCATAAATGGGAACTACTTGGACCCTTAGGGTAAGGGGTCTACTGTACGTGCTGCCAGCAGTCAGCCCCAAGAGCCTCAAGCCCGACGTCCGAAACCAGAAAACTTGGACCATAAACCCAAACTCCGATAAGGGCTCATAAGAGCCCTTGGGGTTGGGGGTGGGGAAGTATAGCACCCTACCCGCCTCCCCCCCTACCCCCCTCTAAGGGTCCACGTGATAACCCACGAATTCTATATTAGGAAGGGTTCGTAGCAATTCTAATGATCGAAATATATTACGCATGATATTCGTAGTGAAGACTTTCATGCTAAGAAATCGTGATTATCAGCAAAGGGGTTGTCGTGAACGGTCTTTCCTGTTTGATTTTCGGTTATCTGAGGCGTATCATGATCTGATGGGGTTCATTTAGGTCACTGTAACGCAGTTTCCAGACAGATGGTTAGCTAATTGGGGAGTGTAGCTGTGAGCATCTCTCAAAACCCAAAGGGTCCAAGTATCATTATGGTATATACTCATAGGGTATTTTGGAGGTCTAAGTATATACCATAATGATACTTGGACCCTTTGGGAAAGCTTGGAACAAAAAGGTTTTGGGGTCGAGGGTTGAGGGCAACCAACAAACTGAATTAACGCCCGATGTCCGAAACCCCCGACTACTTTCCTCAACCCCGAACCCTTATAAAGCCAACCCCTTGAAAACCAACTCGAATTCCTGAGCCCGAAGCGCCATAAAGACACAAAGCGCCTTGCAAAGCGCATGTGTCATCCAAGGTTTTAGGGTTTAAGGTGTGGTACGCCCTCTTCAATGCTGTTGAAGTTCACATGCAATCGAGCAAACAGTGATCGAACCCCAGTCGGAATCCCTAAACCCTAAACCTCAAACCACTCAGAGGCCGCGCCGCCTCGAGCAGAGACGAAAAGGCCGGACTCGGGCCGCCTTTTCTCTGTGTGGATGGTTTTTTCGGGTTTCGGGTCTCGGGCTTAAGAAATTGGGGGGGGGTTAAAACTCACCGGGTCTCGGATAGCAGGGTTCTTGTTGAAACCAGAGGTGTTGATAAGCTTCTTCGGGGTTCGCAAGGATTCCGGTAGCGTTTTTTTCGAGAGTGTGTTCATGTTGCAAGATGTTACCAGCATGGTGGTTTGGTCGAATTCGTTGGAGCGTGCGAGGGAGTTGAGGCTTGGAATGCCACGATGCCCAGCGCAGCCACAAAATCTTGCATAGAATGGAATCTACGGTTTTCTAGCTCGAGGGGTTTAGGGCTTTAGGAGTTTAGGGGTTCAGGTGTTGAGGTGTTTAGGGTTCAGGGCTTTAGGGGTTTAGGGTTGAGGGTCTGGGTTTGGGGGTTTAGGGGTTTTTGGTTTAGGGCCTGGGTTTGGAACCCTTGAAACTCCAAGTGTCACACTGCCAAATTTGTCGAGTAGCTTGAGGTTACCCTGGACTAGTTTGCTGTACTGGTCACCCTGATTCATATAATGTAATCCCCCAACCCCTGAGCCAAACATATGAGCCACAGCACATCCCATCCTGAGCTCCCGGGGCTTAAAGTGTTAGACCCCTCGATCTAGCCCATATCAGGATTCAACATTATCTGTTGAAACGGCACCCGAAGTAGATGCTGTACAGGCCGTCAGCACTTCACTGCACCGCCCGGCAGGGACGTAGGTTTAGGGGTTAGGGTTTAAGGTAGCCAAATTAGCCACACTTCGCAGACTCTCTGAATTGCAACCCTAAACACTAAACCCTAAACCCTAGTCTAAGCGTCGTTTCTGACCCGAAGCTTCGAAAGTCCATGCGAAAGTCTATGGAAGACAGCATACCCTAGTAGTAGAATACTGTAGGCAACCTTTAACCTTTAACCTTTTCTGGGTAGTATAGTCCCGAATATAATCCCTATATAACCAAAAAGATTGACCTTCAGTTCCCCATGATACCTGACAAGTAGGCAAAACGCAACAAGCGACTCTACAGGATGATGAAGTTGTCTAGCCCTGTTGCCCCACTTCCCATATTAGCCGCCTCAAAGTTACCCAAGCCGAAGATTGACCTAAACCCTACCTTAAGCCGGAATAACCTACCTTTAAAAAGATGTGTATAAGGAAATCATAATAAGGAAGCCTAGAAAGGTAGGTTATTCCGGCTTAAGGTAAACCCTAAACCTTAACCCTGCAAGCATGTAGCACTAACCCCCAAAGCCGTGACGATAAAACCATGGCACGCCGTGCTCAGGCCTTCCCAGCCGAGTGCGGTGCTTGGTCGGGCTACATCGGCCGGCCGTTGCCAGGGTTTGGCTCGACTAAACTACTTAACTGATGCCCGCTTTCCCGATCCTGGCTTAGGGTTTAGGGTTTATGTAGGGTTTAGGGGTTTAGGGTGTAGGGTCTAGGAAACCCCGGACCGTAGACAGGGCAACCTTAAACGACAAAGCAAGTGCAGCTCTAGGTCTAGGTTGGGTTCTTGAGCTTTTAGGGTTTGGGAATGCAGGCACTGAGTTTGGATTGTTGTCCTGCCGTGCCGTATTTCGTACAAATCAGGATACTTGAGCTTGAACCCTGTTAACCAAGCTCGAAACGAAACTAGTCTTCAGACTCGAAGTCCGGAATCCTACTCCAAAATCCAAAACCTTAACTTTAACCCGAACCCGAAGAGTCCAAGTACCTCATAAGCATATACTCTCCTACATATTGAGCTACATAACTACTATCCTAAACCCAAGTACCTAATTCTTGGGTCCTTAGGACCCTTAGGGAAACCCCAGAACCCTAATCCCTAAACCCACCAGTTCTTTGAGGTTCTGCCGATGCCGTCACACAGCCGCAGGCATGGCTTCAAGGGTTTCTGGCGAAGCGGTTTAGATGCCTTTTGCCATTACGATTACGAATATTGCTATTGCGGGTACTACTCTTGTCATGATATTATCGTTCTGCCGTTGTCATGACAACTACGTAGTATCGTGCAAATCAATAACTAATGTTATTGTTATTGCTCTTACTCGTGCTAGTACTAGTATGCCATGGGTGTTTGTAATAAGAACTTACCCGCCCGATGGAAAAGAAAACCCACCACATCCTCGACTGTAGCTGCTTGGCAGGTCACCCTAAAACCTCTAGACTCTAGACTCCTAGAATTTCGCCAACCAACCTTGAGGCGGTGAGGAAAAGGGGCGATAAAAACAAAAAAAAGACTCCTAGAATTTCGAAACCCTCAATGTGAGCCAAACGTCCACGCCCCAAACCCTTCCCCCGCAGTGCGGGGGACCCTCAAACCACAAGCCCGAAAGACCGAAAAACCTTAAGACTTAAACCCCAACCTTGCAAACATAAACCTTAAACCTGAAAGAAAATTCCGGGTTTCTGAAACCTTGAGAACTTAACTATGTCATGGTCCTCAACCCTAAACCCTAATCCCTAAACCCTAAACCAAAACCCCACAAAGGGCCCTAAATCCGACTCCAACTCTGCGGAAGGCGGTGCCTGCCTCGGCACCACCGGCAGCCTCCGCAGAGACTCTGGAAAGGCTGCTGGGTGAATAGTATAGTGGAGTTAGTAATTAACTATACTATTTTTTGTTGGGGGGGTCCTTATTACAATTATAGCATAATACACCCCAAAGCCCTATTCTGATTATTAAGGCCCCCTATCTTAGGGATCTTTACCTGAACTGTATGCCGTACGATGTAGGGTTTGTAGGGTTGCACGACTTTCGGGCTCAGGGGGTGTTGAGATTGAGTTTAGGGTTCATTCAGGTTTTCAGGATTTAGGGTTTATGGTTCAGGGTTTCGGGTGTGGTTCCGGGTTTTGGGTGTTCGGCTTAGTTTTGACAACTACCCATAGAAGCGTGGAGTGCCGAATGTGGTGTTGGCCAAGGACCCCTCGACATGCTCAGCCTGTTAACTATTCCGTACAGGATTAATTGGGTTCCTTGCCATAAGCAAGGTCAGCAAAACTTGTAGAGAACTGCAGAAGGAAACTGTAACAATGAGCTAATGAGTTCCGAAACGCAGGTTTTCTGGGGCCCAGGCAAATCCTAAACCCTGAACCTAGCTACCTTCATTCGTAATCTGCGGCTTGGGTCAATTTGAAACCCCCGAATCGACATTGCAATGCATCTCCCGGGTTATATGCTGTTGAGGGCTCTTATGGGATCCATAAGCTCAAACTACACTCCAAACTCGTAACTTAAATCCAACGAGGTGTATGCATAGACCCCATATCAACACCTTGGGGCAAGCCCTAAGTACAAACCTCTCTCAGCGTATCCCCTATACCTTATAAGCCGTAAATACTACGCTTTAAATCCAAAGCACTAAACCTTGTAAATCCTAAGCTCTAAATCCCAAACCCTAAGCCTAAAGAAAGGCCCAATGCACCCTTAAAAAAAAAACCCAAAGAAAGGCCAATGGGCGCTGACGCCGCGACCGCGAGTGTTGCAGCAGGAGCTCTGAACTTCATGACAAAGGGTTCAGGATGGGTTTAGGTTTAAGTCAGGATTCAGGATTTCCGGGGGTGTAGGATTCAGGGTTTAGGATTCAGGATTTCCGGTTTTAGGCTATTCTGGGTTACAGAGTTTAGGTTTGAGGGATTAGCTTTCGGGCTCATGGCTTTCAGGTTGAGAAGTTAAAGGTTTAAGTTTTAAGTTTAGAATTCTGGATTTTGGGTTAAGGGCTGAAGTTCGGTTTCGAGTTCAGGGCCTTCGAGTTGGGGCTCGAGGATTGTGGTTTTGGACGTTCAGGATCTAGGATCTTCGGTTCAGGGCTTCAGGGTTAAGGCTTAGAGTGTAGGATATGGGAGTTTCCGAAAATTGGGGGTTACCATATTTTGGGGTCCTTATAAAAAGGATCCTACTATTTAGGGTACGATACTAGGGTCCCTTGTTTTCGGAAACTCCCATATGGGGTTTTAGCTTCAGGGCTTTATCTCGGGTTGAGGGATTGGGTTCCAGGTTTTTGACATCTAGTTAAGGTTAAGGACTCAGGGTTTGGGGATCAGATGCAATGGTTCAGGGTTCGGGATTTGAGGCTTTGTGGGTTCAGGGTGTAGCATTCATTTCAGCCGGTAGGTTTTGAAGCTCTGTACATATATATATATATGTATATATATACATATATATTTGTATATGTGTGTGTGTGTGTCTGCATACCAAACTCTTCTAAGGTGTCGTAGGGTAACTTAGTTCGAGGAGCCTGAATAATTAGCCATCTCATGCCCCCCGAGGTTCCTTTCATAATTTAACAGTACTTAACAGAAACTTAGCAGTATGCTATCCACCAAAATCCGAGCCTAATACGTTCAGGCCTCTATTTTCGTATATTAATATAGTTCCGAAGCTCGAAAAAGCGGGGCACATGGGCTGTTACCTACGCACGATCCCTCTGGCCACAACGCTGCAGCCCATCCCGGGTTGAATTTGGTGCGGTCTGTCCTCGGCTTAGGGTTTAGGGTTGGGTACTGCCCCCACTCAGTATAACAGTTGGTTAATATTCATAATATAGGTATATAAGGCCCTTAATAGTAGCCCTATTATAGACTTAACCAAATATATAATAAGGATCCAATAAGGTAACCCCAAACAGGAACTACTATGGGGCCTCTGGGTAGGGTTTGGGGTGTCGACTCTGAGGAGCTGCCATGGTAGCAGCGTCTCAGCTGCCCGAGGCCTGCATGCAAAAGCGCGAAGTTTCGAAGTTTTCCGTCTGCCCAGAAGCCAGGGCTGCAAGAATCGACATCAACCTTACACCGTAAGCAGCCCCTCGTTCTAGGCCTTAAATATGGGAGCTTCCGAGAATAGGGGACCCTAGTATGATACCCTAAATGGTAGGATCTTAATTCTGTGCAAAGCCCATGGTTTGAAACATCAACCTTGCTAGCCCGACGCACAAACCCTCAGCTCACAATCCATCAAACCCTGATCTAGAAAGTGCCGGCCTCCAAGTGGGTGGTTGTCAGAATTAGGATCCCTTTTTGAGTCCCTAATATGGTACGGCACCTAATATATAGGGTACCCAGTAGGGGACCATAATTTTGACAACCACCCACATATTATTGGTATGCTTGCTATAAGGACCCTTCAATAACGTACCTGATCTCCGACATACATACACAAACCACTCCATTTAGCACCCCGAAGACTGTTCTGTATCTGGCACAGGCCTTAGATAAAACGTGTAGGCCATTCCCTAAATCCTAAAACCCCTACCCCTAAACCCCTAAACCCTAAATTCTAAATGAACCCTAAACCCCAAACCCTAAACCCTGAACCGTGAAAAAAGAACCGTGAATCAGGAGAAGCAGTCAATGCTGCAAGACATGGAGAGCTCGGCTGCCGCAGCCCGACGCCTACGTGACATACGTGACAGACTTAGGTATCGGCTCTGTGTCGTTTCTGGCAATCAGCAGCAGCCGCTTGATCCTGGCCACGCGGCGGAAGTGCCACTGGAATGGCGATGCCTTCACAGGATTTGAGTCTGGCCAATCTTCTGACGGACATCTCTGTACATGATTTCCCTAAAACCCTAAACCCTAAACCCCTAAACCCTAAGCCCTGTAACCTAAAACCCTAAGCCGGACAGAGTAGGGCTTCAGTTCAGGGCCCAGGCTTTAAGGCCTAGGTCTTACTAGGTTTGGGGCTTAGGGGTTTAGCGGTTTAGGGTTGAGGGGTTTGGGGGTTTTGGCGGTTAGGGTTTAGGGGTTTGGGGTTTAGGGGTTAAGGGTTTGGGGGTCTTGGGGTTTAGGGGTTTAGGGTTTAGGGTTTGGGGTTTCTAGGAATCAGGAGTTAAGGCACCTTAACTTAACTGCCTTAATTTCTGAGCCCTGCCCCCAAACTCTGAACCCAAGCCCTAAACCCGAAACCGTATTCCATGAAAGCTGTTCTCAAGTCTTCGCCCACCATGCAAAACTGTAGAAAGTTCAATTTGATCCTGCCCAACAACCCGACACCAATGAACAGGACGCATCTCAAATTGCCTTAAAGTCTGAAATGTAAAGTTTTTTTGGTTTTTCCCTAAGACAAACTGTGTTGGCAAGATTGCTTTTGGGGCCACTGGAGATAGGGATACCTGAGGTTGCATGGTAGTAGAAAGGGTGCACAAACTTAATCAAGGGAGCTCAAGGGTCCTCCTGGGGCTCTGTGTCCTAGGTTAACCTTCCAAAACCTACTTCTTCTGTAGAGTCCTTACAAATTCCATATTTGGGTTTACTACTGTTACCAATAACCTGCAAAAAAGTCTGGTTTGGGATTTTATGGTAGGTTTATATGTAGGGTTCAGGATTCGCAGGGCGTGCAGTGCGTAAGCGTCAATGCCACGTAGGGATTTAGGCTTGAGGCATTTCCTGCAAACAACGAAGCTGCAAAAGAAATATTTCCTTTACTCACTTTACTCTTAATCATCCTAACTGCTGCCTCGGCTTGTTCCTGGGACTTGTGCTCCTTCAGTTCTTTATTTCCCACTGGGGTTCAGTACTCTCTGCCGCAGGCGCCGCCTACACCGGTTGTCGAGCCGCCTTCGAAAGAGGTTGGCCTGGAGCTCTACATTTGGTTTTCTTCGTGGGTTTAGGTTTATCCTTTGTGGGGAGAGTTTCTTTTAAATAAGGGCTTGGACAGGGCTCTACAGGTTTGTATACGAGTGTTGCGGGGCCTTGAGGTTGATTCAAGCATACGATACCCTAAATGCTAAATTTTCCGGAAACCAACGACTAGTCTGTTGAAGGAGCATTGTTGCCGTGTAAAGGTGCTAGTTGTGTTTTTGCAGGTTCGTGCTTTAGGAGGTTCGTTTTTTTTGCTTTTGGGGTTACCAGTTCCAGCATGCAAGGCCTTCTGTTCGTGCAGGGCAGGGCTTGGTGCTATAAGTATGAGGCAACTCGCTGCTACTGCTGTACTTCTTAACCCGACACCCCCAAACACTCGAGGTCCGAAAGCCCGAAACCTAAAAGCCCTATCAGAAAGAGTCACTGCACTTAAAAAAAGAAGCCCTACTAGCTCCCCAGCCTTAAACGCCAAGGGGTCACAAACCCGGAAGCCACCGAAGTCCACAGCCCCTACAGTAAGGAGCTATGAAGCTTTGCCGGCAGGCGCCGCCGCCAGCTGTCGAGCCGGTCATTAAAGAGGCTGGTGGGGGGGGGGCCCTGGAGTCAGGGCCGCTGCAGGGTTTGGGGTCGGGGGTTTAGGGCTGGAGTTTCAGGGTTTGTTGAAGGTTTCGGAAGTAAACTTCAGGGGCTCGAGGTTCAGGGGTTACGGATTCGCAGGTGCGGGAAGTAGATTTGGAAAGGTAATCGCACCAACGATGTCAATAAGATCAAGCAGCGTGCAGTGCAGGTTGTCATCATGAGCACCACCAACCATCATCATCAGCATGTCATGTTCTCCTTGCCATGCTCCCGCTCCTCCTCCTTCTCCTCCCAGTCCTTAGCCCCACCCCTAAACCCTGAACCCTGCACCGCAAACCACCATCAGCAGCACTGTCGGGGATCTTTGTCAAGCTGCAATTTAAAGTCTTAGCCCCCGAGTCTTCAGGCCAGCTCTCAGGTACAGGGTTTAGGGTCCCGAAACACCCTAAACTCTGTAAGTTTGGGGTCAGGCCGTACAACTACGGGATCATAACCTACCATTTTGGGGTTTGAACAATCTTGAACTCCGTACATCTGTGTGGAAAAACCGGTGGGACCCACAGCGTTCCTATCTGCACTTGGGACTTATAAGTACCAGAACCCCAACTAGGGTCCCTTTTGAGGTATTTATATAGTTATTAAGTCTACTTATACTACCTACTTATTAAGTCCCCCCAAGCCTCCAAGTAAGTTTACGTTTTGGGGCTTCGAAGCACCGGCCGCCACCGCAGGCGCCCCCGCCCTCGCACGCGGAGCCGCAGCAGCCGCCCAAAAAGGCGGTGGCCGATGCCTCAGCAGCAGTGCAGCAGGGGCGTCAGGCATTGTAGGATAGTATAGGATAGTTTTATACGGCTTAACAGGTTACTATAGTAGAGTGCAGTATATAACAGGTTACTATAGTAGGTTGCAGTATATGATAGTACGTCAGATGCCATAATTTTGTTATTATTACTCTTCTTGTTATTTTACTATTAGTACTATTAGTTGTTCGTATTATGATTGTTCGAACCGCTTCTTCTAGGTTCCCTGTAGTACCCTCTTACGCTTTTCCTTTTAGCGCCGGACTCCAATACTGGTGTGCTTGCAATACTGGGTTATGGAGTACCATACTTGAACACATGCTTTGAGGACCTGTCTTGTAAAGGAACCATTTATGACATTGAAGTCTATAGCTTTTTTCCCTGGTTACTTCAACTTCCAAAGAGGCACCAGGCTTCTAGAACCCCAGACAAAACTGTGACATCCGGGTTTTCCCTCATATATGAAGAGAACCTTTAACAGGCCTCATAATGCCCTGCATAGAACCCTCTCAAGAGAATTCAAGAGCTCTCTGTTATGGTATAGTACAGAACCCCCCAAACCCTATTCTAATCTGTAGGCCCCTATGGTTTTTAACATCAACCATAAACCCCGAAAAGGACAGAACACCATTATGATCATACTAGAGGCCCATGAATATACCAATACAAATACTAGTACTAGTGCTAGTACTCGTTCTAAAAAAGTAGTAGTAGTAGTAGTAGTAGTAGTAGTAGTAGTAGTAGTAGTAGTAGTAGTAGTAGTAGTAGTAGTAGTAGTAGTAGTAGTAGCACTAGTAGCGGTAGTAGTAGTAGCAGTAGCAGTAGCAGTAGCAGTAGCAGTAGCAGTAGCAGTAGCAGGAGTAGTAGTAGTAGTAGCAGTAGCAGTAGCAGTAGCAGTAGCAGTAGCAGTAGTGGTAGTAGTAGTAGTAGTAGTAGTAGTAGTAGTAGTAGTAGTAGTACTAGTACTAGTACTAGTACTAGTACTAGTACTAGTACTAGTACTAGTACTAGTACTAAGAATAGTGACTAATACTAATACGAATACTATTTTTTGGCTGCAGATCCAGGCAGAGATCGTCAAGATCGACTCTGACGAGGTGTGAGCTAGCCAGTGCCGTGAAATTAGGGTTCAGGGATGTCCAAGGTAATTTAGGGGCCTTAATAATTAGAATAGGGTTTTGGGGCCCCTTATACTATACTTATTATGAGGAAGCCCCAAAATAGTATAGGTACTTATTTAGGCCCCTCTATTATAGACTTGGGATCGGGCTTGAGTCATTCAGGGCATTAGGATCTTGGGATTTAGGGATACGGGGGTTGTGGCTGCTGTTAGTTAATGGCTCAGAATGCTTCACATTGGACAGCGAAGCTTTCAGCAGCTTGCTGTCAACGTCTTCGCTGGGTTAGTTGAGGTAGCAATGTTTCTTGCAAACCTCTGGCAGAGGTCTGCAAAAGCCACATGCCGGATCTATATGCTTCTGTGTCTTCGGGAGTCTTCGTCAGGGTTCCAGATTTGAGACTCAACTTCGAAGCTTTCCCATAGGTTCGGCGGAGGGGGAGATGACCTGCATTCTAGGGCGTAAAGTCTTCAGAACTTGCCTGTATCTATGTCGCGAGAGGGTCCTGCCAATAATGATTAAAACTGCCATATGGTGAAATTCTACTTCACTTTGAACCTTGTTGACTAATTGTTCGTACGTTATATATTATGGGACAGATCTTAATTTAGGAACTATTGCTCTCGTTGGCAATCATCGCACTTTCAACCGCGGATGGTGTTTAGAATTTTAGTGGTTCGGCTTCTCAGTTAGGCTTTCGTGCTTAGAATTCAGGATTAAGGGTAAGAATGCAGGATCTATGATTTGGGGTTTAGGCCTTCATTGGCTTACACAACCTCAGGCCTCGAAGCGCAGATGTGGGAGTTTCCGAAAATAGGGAACCCTAATATGGTACCCTAAATAGTAGGATCCTTATTATAAGGACTCCAAAATAAGGTACCCTTATATTCGGAAACTCCCATGTTGCCGTTCTCCTTTCGCCCCCGATCAGGACGAGGAGGAGGAAGAGGAGGAGGACTGGCCTCCTGATTTTTTCGCCGTGTTGCGGATGAGAGAGCAGTAGGGGCCTGTTTAGAATCAGGTTCTACGGGTATCCTATTGTGCAGATATGTCAGAGTCAGAGTTGAGGGTTTGGTTGCAGTTTTTTGCAACTTGCTAGCAGAGGTTGGTCCTTCACGACTTTCTGGACAGTATTCTTACAGGGGCATCCCGAAAGCAAGCTTTTCCACATGTGATGTAGAGGTCGGAGAAGTTCCTAACAGTATCCCCGAATAGCTCCCTTTGTAAAATTAGACGCGAACAGATAAGCTCCATTTTAATCTCTAAGGCCGCCAAATTAAATGGTGGGGTCATCGGCTTTCATGCACGGTGTGGCGTGCGGCTGTGAAGCTAGGCCTCCCAGTGGGCCCTTCTTCCCTTTTTGTAGTCCTAGGTTCCTGATACGTAAAGTTACCCCGTACCAAAAAGGGAGCCCTTAGGGTGTAAGCACCTAACTATTATATACTCTTCAACATCCTAACCTACATAACTACTATTTTAAAACCGAGTACCTAATTATTGGGTTCTTTGGACCCTTGGGGCAAAGCCTTCAGAGCAGGCAGCATACATGGCAAACCGGCAGGTCCAGGATCCTGGCAAGGTGTAGAGTGCAGGGCGTGGGGCATTACCTGAAAGCATAAACAGAAGGACCTTCACAACTAACTATAGTATGTTGGGGGCTCCTTGTAATAAGTATAGTATAATGGGCCACAATTAACTATAGTATGTTGGGGGCTCCTTAGAATAACTACAGTAAGATGGGCCCCAAACACCTTATTCTAGTTATTAAGGCCTCTCTATTAGGGTAAAAGTGTTTATGGCATGAAAGCTTCGAGTCGACTATTGCAGAAGCCTAGATAAGTACCGACATTATTCTTGGGATTCCAAGTAAAAATGGAACCCATTCTAAGTCTAAAGGCCCTTATAGCCTAGAGTGTTGTGTGAGGTTTAGGGGTTTCGGGAGTAGGGACTTGTATCCTATGAACCGAAACCCGAAGCCCCACACCTCACCTAGAAACCCTGTCACTCCCTAAAGTTCTGGCTCTTAAACTCTAAAGGGAACTCCAGAAAGTTGGAATATGGATTCATGGTAGGATCCCCTATAATTTACCTTAAAGGGATTACGATAATGATATTCCAACTTTCTGGCTTCTACTGTATACTCTTTGCAGCAGAACGCTAAGGGCCCATGTGCCCAAATAGCATATACTTTGGGCCTTAAAGTACTCCCCATATAGCTACAATGGCCCGACCCTTAGGGGAGGGAGTGCAGCAAGTATAGAACTTTCCCTAGTCTTCTACTGTGGTCTAGAACACTGGGACAAGGAGCATAATGCATCCGGTTCCGACTCTGGCTACTGCACGGTCCTTAATCAACGAAGCCCTGAACCCAAGCTCCCTGCGCAGTTTAGGCTTTAGGGTTCGGGGTTTAGGGGTCACGTGCCACCGCAAAGCTTGAGACCCCACAGAACACTGCGTCCCCCCCCCCAGCACTAGTCGCCCTGACCCTCAACCCACCCTAAACCCTAAACCCTAAACACTAAACCCTAAACCCTAAACCCTAAACACTAAACCCTAAACCCTAAACACTAAACCCTAAACCCTAAACCCTAAACCCTCAACCCTCAGTTAAGTTCCCCGTCGGTTCAAGAGACCAAGCTTTGAACTCAGCAGGAAAGCGAAGACGAGGTGGGGGAGTCTCGGGGGTTTTGGTAATCTCATAAATAAAGGGGAGTTTCCGAAAAGAAGGGACCCTAATGTAGAACCCTAAGTAGTAGTATCCTTATTATAAGGACCCCAAATAAGGTACCCCTAATTTTCGGAAACTCCCAAATAAGGGTTCCTTCAATTCAGGTTCTTCTGAGGGGCTGAACGGAAATGCGCCCATGCGTATGCTGCAGCACTCCAGATGGGAAATGTATAGACAGTCTAGAGTCCGAGTCTTAGTTGTTTTTTCCTGTAGGAGGCCGGAGGTGGGGGGGGGGGGTTTTGGGTTTATCGGCTTACGTCTTCAGGGCTCTTCCGGGTTGAGGGTTTAGGGATATTTCCATGCTAGAGAGCATCATTGGGCTACGTTCGCGATGTTATTGGTTGGCCAATCAGCCCGACCAGCTAGGGTCAAAGGGGAAAAGGAGGGACCCTTGATGGGGACCCCTACCCTATAATGGGCTATATAATGGGTATATAATAGCTATATTAAGGGTAGATACCTAGGGGTCCTTATTAAGGGTCCCTCCTATTACCCTTGGATAGAGGAAGTGCTCATGCATGGATTTGGACTTGCAATAATAATGAAGTCTAGGGCACCTGGTTTCCCTTGCTGGAGCAGCTCGAATGCCAGCTGCCGATATTCCGCGCACCGAACACAAGCATCTCAAACCCCGAACCCGAACTCAGCACTACGCTTGAGACTTCACGCCCCAAGATCCTCCAGAAGCATGCTTGTACAGCCGAAATGTGATCAACATTGCTCTTTCCCCCAGCAAAAGTCTAAGCAACATCAAATATCCTTGATCCCTAGACCGTAAACCCGGGTCTCTTGGAGACTGCAATCCCTCAGCCTTCAGCTCAAATGCCTTAATCCCAGTCCCGAAACGAGAGTTTCCCTAATCCAAGGGCCGAATCCCTAAACCCTAAACCCCTGAACTTTAAACCCGAAACCCAAAACTCTAAACCCCAAACCCCTAAACCCTACACCCCGAAAAGTTTGTAAAAGAATGCCCACCACGTAGAAAAGGCTATACTCCCTCAGCCCCCAAACTCCCTAAACCCCTGAACCTCTAAACTCTAAACTACTCAACCCCTGAACCCCTAAAATCCCTACAGTCGCAAAGGACTCGGAAGCTTCCGACGCCCAGCCGGAGCACGCCGTGCCAACTCAGGCCAGGACTTTCCCTAGGGCTCCCCAAAGAGTAGGTCACTGGGGTTCACAGTATATGTTTGTGTATGATAATATATATATATATATATATATATATATATATATATATATATATATATATATTATTCTATTCTATTCTATTCTATTCTTATATATTATATTATATGATATTATATTATATTATATTATATTTTATTATATTATATTATATTATATTATATTATATTATATTATATTATATTATATTATATTATATTATATTATATTATATTATACTATATTCTATTATATTCTATTATATTCTATTATATGCTATTATATTATATTATATTATACTATATTATATTATAATATATTATACTATATTATATTATATTATACTATATTATATTGTATTATTTTATATTATGTTATATTATGTTATATTATGTTATATTATGTTATATTATGTTATATTATGTTATATTATGTTATATTATGTTATAATATTTATATTATATTATATTCTATTTTATTTTATTATATTCTATTATATTATATCATATTCCATCATGTTATATCATATTATATCATATAATATCATATTATATCATATTATAATATATCATATTATATCATATGATATTATATGATATTATATGATATTATATGATATTATATGATACTATATTATTTTATGATATTATATTATTGTTAAAGACACTCTTCCCGCTAGCCCTTTTCCGTCAAGTGGCGTAGCAACGTAGGATGACAACCGCTGATGAACTTGTACATTCCACATCAGCAGACATCCAACAGCCCTAGATCGTTGCTTGTGAGTGCGAAAAGGAGTTTTAGGTAGGAGCGCTTGATGGGCCTCTGGTAAATCCTAAGCTTCGACTACCAGTTGAAGGTGTCCTACGACAAGTTGATCTTCAAGACCACCAATAGGTTATGAGCGCCCAAGACGCTGAGAGCGCGAACTCTCAGGGTGCAAGGCCGTTGTTGAACGGCAATGGTCACCAACCCAGGAGGCAGGTGAGCCAGACCAGCTATGGGGCTATGGAAGGCGGTGAGGCAGATGGAGCTGCCACTCTGCAACCTGTGGACACTGCTGGAGCTTCTGGTGATGGGGTTGGAAGTGCTTCTGAGGAGGCTCCTGCAGCGGAGGCCTCTCCACAGCCCTCCCAGCCAGAGGAAGAGTCAGCGGGCCCTGGTCCGGCCAGGGGCCTGTTGAACCTTCCTGAGGGAGCCTTGCGACAGGCTCTTGGGAATTCTGCCGATTTCTTGACGTTGGTTGGAACATTGCAGTCCTTGATGAGTGGTCGCAGCGACCAGCCGGGCACAGATGCCCAACCGGAAGAGGCAACAGAACCGCAGAGTTTCTTGAGCTTTGAGAGTGCTGAGGCCACTCCCACAGCGAGGGGAACTTCTGATTCTGCTGCCCAGGCTCAGGGAACACCAGATTTTCCTCATCGCGTTCAGGAAGAGTTGTCTGGTGGTATTTCCATGGATGCGGGTTTTGCATCAGGGCGAGAAGTTCGAGCGGGAGAACGTCGTGAGCCACTGGCAGGACCTCTCTTTGCTCCTGAGCAGATGGCTCAGTGGGCAAGGTTGGAGCAGGGAGCACCGCTGCTCTATGGAACACCTCAGGGCCAGGAGTCTTTCCGCACTCTTCCCAGGTCTGAAACGCCGTCGGTGATGTCTAGTGGTGAAATTCAAGCGGAAGTGAGGCGACAACTCGATGCCATTCGGATGTCCCATGCTGTACAGTTGGAAGCCTTAGCACGTGAGAATGAACAGCTTAGGAGACAGGTAGCTTCTTCTGGAACCCCTGCAGAGCAGGAGTCACGTAGATGGGGCTCTGCCGCTAATCGAATGATGGGTTGGTTTAGGGGTAGTGGTGCGCAGTCACTTGTTGCTCCTACCGGAACCCAGTCCCTGCTCACCTCTTTGGGCAGCCTGATTCCTAAAGCCAAGGCTGCGGGTTCCTTCCGAGGGGAGGAGCATGCACAGGTGCCTTCAGGTGCATCAGGCCAGGTTCCTCAGCAGGTCACAGGTCAGGTGCCGATAGGTGCCACAGGTCAGGTGCCGACAGGTGCAGCAGGTCAGGTGCCTCAGCAGGTCATCGGTCAGGTGCCGGTAGGTGCATCAGGTCAGATTCCTCAGCAGGTTCCAGGTCAAGCGCCATTCGGTGGGTTTGGTCAAGTGCCTCAGCCGGCTCAGGCTTTTCACCTTTCACCACCCCTTCCGCCAGCCTCTTCTCTAAGTCAGGCTGCGTTGGCGAGCCAGAGTATGCCTACCCAACTAGGACAGGCTCAGGCTTCTCATCAACTTTCTCAGGTGCAGGTCCCATGCCCGTCTGGGGGCCAGGCCACAGCGTTGCCAGTGGAATCTGGTTCCACTGACTATCCACTTCCTCAACATGTGCCAAAGGTTTCGTCGGTTTCTGCAACCAGTGGACCACCTGGGATTCCGTCTCCAATGCCATCAGCTCCTGGGGATCCCCTAGATGTGGTGTTAGCAGGGATGGCTCAGTTGCAGACTCTGGTCGGTGACCTTAGTAAGAGGGGTGGAGGTAGCACAAGCACTCCAGAAACGGTGAAGCCCGGGGTGACAGCTCTTCCGGCTCTTCCGGAACCCGGATCTGAGGATTCAACCTTGGGTTTTAGTGATTGGTTGCATGTAGTCCAGCCCGCGTTGTCCGATGTGTCAGATACCTCTGATCAACTATGGACCTTGGCAACCAAGGAGGCTTCAGACTGGTACAAGAAGTATCAGTCTCAGACCCCAGTGGGCAGGCTAAGCACAACCGTGGTGCCGTCAGCCACCTTGCTTCAGCCCAAGTGGTCGCGGGTTCGACATAGGATTGAGGCTATGATTGTGTCAGCCAGTCCTGCATCGATCAAGGAAGAACTGTCTTCCTCGAGGACCCAAGGGCTCCTTCAGGTCCTTTGCAAGTTATATGTGGTTTATCGACCGGGGGGTTTAGCTGAGCGCGAACTAGCAATCTCCCGGGTGTCCAGTCCCCATCAGGCCAAGACTGTGGCGGAGGCAGTTTCGGAGCTTCGCATGTGGAAGAGGTGGACCGTCCGCCTGACTGATCTCGGCGGTTCCATTCCCGATCCGGCCGTCCTCTTGAAGGCTCTGACCACCATCACAAGTGGGCCACTGTCGACGATGCCAGATGTGGCATTCCGAGTTCAACTCATCAAGGCCACCCTGCAGGTGGATGTGACGCCCACTACTGCCAGTGTTCAGCAGCTTTATGAGTGCCTGCTGACGGAGCTTGAGGGTGAGGTTAAGTTCGGGAAGGCTGCAGCAAGGGCTAGATCGGTGAAGGAAGAAGATAGATCCGAAAGGGATCTCCCGAAGCCACCGAAGTCACCTCCAAAGTTGCCACCTCCTCCCAAGGGTTCTCAAGCTGAGGGGAAATCCGAGAGGTGTCGAGCCTTCCATGGAGGAAATGGATGCAAGCGTGGGGCCCAATGTCCTTACCTGCATGAGTGGACGGCCATTCCGAAGGCTGAAAGGTCCAAGCTTTGCATGTTGTGTGGGGCGACCGGGCACCGAAAGGACCAGTGCACTTCGCCAGCCACGCCCAAGTCACCTAAGAAAGGGGATGGAACAAAGCCTGAGGCCAAGCCACAGCCTCCCGCTGCGTCGTCGGCGTCCTCAGGAGGTGCCACCGCTAAGGCGGGTCAAGGCTTCACGGCGAAGCAGTTGGAAGGTCTTACTACAAGGTGCCCAGGCAGCGTTGAATAGCTTGCAGACGTCGCCTCCTGCAAAAGGGGCCTCCGCCAAGGCCGTGTGTTGTGCAGCAGGGTTAGAGGATAAAGGGGCACTCTTAGACAGTGGGGCAACACATAGTGTGGTTTCTACCCAGGAGGCCCAGAAATTGCAGGGACCCATGGAGTCTTGTGAGGTGAGCCTAGCTGGAGATGTCCGGCGCACGTGGGGCAAGACCCCAGGAGGAACCTTGGTCGTTCCTACGGAGCATCCAGGCTCCACCAGTGAGGCAAGTCCTCAGACTTTGGTACCGCTGGGTGCCGTAGTGTCCAAGCTTGGGTGTAAACTCACGTGGAGTCGCGCAAAAGGTTTGAGGTTGCAGCATCCAAAGAGAGGTCTTCTGCCGACGAAGATTGTGAATGGATGTCCTCAGCTGCCCAATGAAGTTGCACTGGAGTTAGTGAAGGAACTTGAAATGTGCAACTCAGGACCCTCAGGCGAAAGGACTCAGGAGTTGTATCAAGCCGTTTTGTTGGATCACTTGGCTGACGATCCAGAGCGCTCTCTTAAGGAGTACATTGCACAGGGCACCAAGGTTCAGGCCCTCCAGGCTATGCTTGCCTGTGCACCGTTCCGGGAGTTCACCGCCTTATGCCAAGGCCTGGCAGTTGACTCTCCAGTCAGCGATGATCAAGGGTGGGAAGCCCTGAAGTCCCTACCTCTTCCACGGCGTGCGAGGAAGAGGCTTTTCCGGTCTCCATGGATCGTGAACTTTGGAAGTCCAAGGTCTGCATTCTTCACTCAGGTGCTTCGGTCAAAGGGATTTGAGGTACTAGAGGTTGGCCAAGGTGCAGAGGAATGCTGGACCTCATTGTTGTGGGGAGCCCTCTCTGGGAGGGTATCAGCTGTTCTTTCTGGAGAAGGGTTTGAGGAGGAGGATCGGGTAGTCGAGACTATCCGACCACTCTGGTTGTGGACCCTTGCTTCAATGGCGCAAGGCAGCTGCCTACCACTGATGAGGCGGGCTGAGACCTCTCAGGAGGAGGGACTCGACTCCCTAGGAAAGGGGTTCAAGTCTGGGTTTCTCAAGTGGAGTGGGTGCGACACTGTCCGTTGTGGTTCTGGGGAACTAGTTACCAATATGAAGTTAGGTCACCTAGAGCACGATTTTCCCCAGGGAGCATCTGCAAGCCAGTTCGAGGAGGAGCTGGGCCGTGCCCTTTTTGGGATTCCATCAGCAGTTTGGAAGCTGGAGGCTTTAGAGGCAATCCAAGCTTGTTGGGAGGATCCGGAGTTTTCCGAGGTTGTGTCCCTTTGGTTCAAGGAGGACAGGCGTGTTGCTTTCTTGAGGTCTGAGGCACAGGCTGCCGCAGAAGGTGCACTTCCAAGGTCTGAGGCACAGGCTGCCGCAGAAGGGGCACTTCCAAGGTCTGAGGCACAGGCTGCCGCAGAAGGTGCACGTCCAAGGTCCGAGGCACAGGCTGCCGCAGAAGGTGCACTGCCAAGGTCTCAGGCACAGGTTGAAGGTGCACTGCCAAGGTCTCAGGCACAGGTTGAAGGTGCATCGCCCAGGTCTGAGGCACAGGTTGAAGGTGCATCGCCCAGGTCTAAGGCGCAGGCTGCTGCTGAGGGTGCCCCTCTTCGGTTTAAGACCCGGGCCCTTGCTGAAGGCGCATTTTCCAGGTCTCAGGTACCGAATGCTCCAGACGAAGTGTCGCAGGGAGCCCCGGCCCATGCGGACTCCGAGGAGGAGAGTCGATTGTTGACTCAGGATAGTTGCTTGAGGGCCACTGCGCCAGCATTTGTTCCGAGCACTATCGATCAGGGACTCCAAGGACGGGAGGCAATACTCCAGCTCCTCATGCAGCAGGAGGCTGTTCAAGAGGAACTGTCAAGTCCCTTGGATGCCACGGTCAATGCAGCGAGTGTAGAGGCCGAAGGGGAACAAGAGGAGTCCGCGCCGATCTTGTCTCCTGAACAGCGTAGGAAGTGGCTGGCACACATTCAAGCCGGCCATTGGCCCTATCGCAAGGATTGTCAGGTTTGTGTACGGGGCTCAGCCGTTGGTCTGCAGCACAGGAGGGTTCAACACAAGGACTCCTATGTGCTCTCCTACGATCTAGCGGGTCCCTTCAAGGAAGTAGGCCGTTCCTTTGATGCCACGGGCTATAGGTATCTCCTAGTAGCCGGATATAGGGTGCCGCGGGAGCTCCTCACTCAGTCCACTGAAGGAGGTGCTGGGGAACCTCCTCCGCCTGATTCAGCGCTAGAGCTCTCTGCTACAGGCTGTTCGGAGAATGGTCATCCGGAAGAGCCGCCTCAGCCACTAGTACCAGAGGACGATGATGACTCAGGTTCCATCGACTTTGGGGAAGAAGGGGTTCCAGATCTTGAGGAGGAGCCTCATGTAGCAAGTCCCCTTGAAGAATCTATCCTCGAGGGTGACTTCCAGGAATCTGATCTGGAGGAGTACGTGGCGTCCTTGCAGGAACCCATCCCGCAGGAAGTTCTTCGCTTCAGTGTGCCTTTGAAAACTCGCCATCCGAAGGGCATCCTTGAGGCCTTGCAGCAGATCTGTGGTGAAGTGCACAGGTTAGGGTTGCCGGTTCACAGGCTACACTCGGATAGAGAAGGAACCTCAGAGGCGATTAAGAAGTGGTGTTATCAAAACTTGATTGTGCCCTCCTATACTCAGGGTCAAGATCCTCAGTCTAACGGTTTAGCTGAACGTTTGGTTGGATGGTTCAAGGCTAAGATGAGGACTTCCTTGGCGTCTAGTGACTTACCCATTAAGTTTTGGCCACTTGCAGCTATGCATGCTGCTCAGACTTACACCCACAGGGTGTGTGGGCGTCCGTTGCCGCCATTCTTTGGCCAAGTTGTGTGGTTCAAAGGAAAGACCCCGACTAGCCAGCCCAAGAGGGTTTTTGTCAAGTGTGAGCGTGGTCGCTATCTTGCTCCATCCACGTGTGAGACTGAAGGCCATTGGATCCTCAGGGAAGCGACAAGGGCGATCCTCTCCACCAGGAATCTTAGAGCCAACCTCGTTCATCCGGAAAAAGTGTTGGCAGAGGACTTACCCGAGCTTGTCGCTGAAGATGAGGTAAGTGGTGTTGAGGACCCCGCTATGTCGCCCTATCGTCGGATATCAAGGAAGAGCCGAGATCCGATATCTCAGGGGCCATCAGCATTGTCGGTCAAGGTTGAAATGCAAGGCGAAGAGGCGGAGCTCCGAGCACAGGTGCTGCTTCATCGCAAGGACTTCAGACCCGCGGCTGCTTTGCAGGTGCTTAATCTTCTTGAGTGGAGCTCTTCCAACAAGGCTCCCCGGGGAAGTGCATCCGGGTATGAGTTGTTTGGGGGTTTTAGGCATGGGGGTATTCAAGGAATTTCCAGGGCTGCCAGACAACACCCTGGAGTGACGGCATTCCTCAACGCCTATCTCCAACATCACTCTCGCAATGAGGGGAGTGGAGAGCCTCCCACCTGGACTTCAATAGTAGTGTACGCTGATCCCGAAGTGGATCCTCATGTGGATCACCGCAACGAACCTGGGACAGCCAACTACGTTCTAGTCATCCCAGGCAGGACGTGTCTTTGGACTGCTGAGCGTGTGGGTCCCCAGTCAATCCCTGCAGGATCCTTAAGCCCGGAGGAAGGTAAGGGATATCTTACGGTTCTAGGACATCGCCTTCAGACCTTTTCTCCAAAGGTTCGGCACTCCCTTGTAAGGACCCCTGACTTCGTCGTTGCATGCTTCACTCCGCTTGGCATTCATCTTGAAGGAGAGGAAGCCCGGTTGATGAAGGATTTGGGTTTTCCCCTGGGGCATGCCGAGGAAGCTCGATCAGTGAGGTTTGAGCATTCCACCGTGTGTATGGTCCAAGCTGAGGACACTGGCCTAGAAGAGGACGTCCAGCCGGACACCTCTGCCACGGTCGAGGTAGGATGGGAGCCCTGCGAGTCCCTAGAACAGCGACTCTCGCGTTTGGGATTAGAGCGCTATCTCTCCCGGTTCCGCCATGAGGGATTAGTTGAGATCAGGGATCTGGAGTTCCTCTTCCGGGAAGATTTTGTCGATATGGGTCTATCGCTCGAAGATTCCACTAGGTTGCTGGAAGGGTTCCCTGGGCAGATAAGGGTTAGGCCCGATCTCCCGCAGAGGGCACACCAGATGCCTACGCCCATTCCCGACATTTCCCATCCCGTGCCTTTGTCTTCAGAAAGGAAGGAAGTCCAGGATGAAAGGGAAGAGGAGGAGAAACTAGTTCAGGATTTGCAGGGCATTCATCTATGTAAGGTTGAGGCGGTGCCAGAGGAACCCGTTGAGGATGTGTACCGGGGTTCCTACAACTACTGGTGCATCAGTGAGGAGGAGTGGTACTCCTTTATCAGCGCAGCCTCAGATCCAGCCCGAAGGTCTCTCTGGAATGCTCTGACCGAGGCCAACTACCGCTACTATGGAGGTCGTGTCTTGAACCTGGGTACTCAAATCCTTTTTCCCCCTGCGACAGCGGACAATCGGTTGATTGCTGGATGCGTCTCCAACGCAGTACTCCATCAGGAGCTTCACACCTTGGATTTGATCTTGAAAGGTAGGCTGCAACCGGGACCGGATGGCCCGGAATATCAGCGTTCCCTGTTAGGTCAGGTGCTCTCCGTGAAGGGGTATCCTAGAGGTGGCCGGGAATACAGGATTGCCTTGAGAGTTCGACGAACTGTTGATGATGTAGACGATCAAGGCAACTACTTAGGGGACGTGTTTATGCTGATAGACATTGCGGTGACCGTCTCCACCGTACCAGCGTCTGAGCAAGAGTTGAGAGCAGTGTCTGAGGACTTTCCCGAGCGTGGGGATCGAGTCCGCGCTGAGTACATGGGTCCAGATACTGACCCGACGTTTGGTGAAGTGGAATCCTACATATTCCCTGTGCCAGCAATCGTTGTGGATGATGATCAGCCTTCCCCTTCGATCACTGGTGATGTTTGGAGTTCGGGTGATGACGGCATGGAGGAGGAAGCTGATGGTCTCGAGGCTACATCTTCCACAGCCAACATACCTTCCATCTGCAAGATTGTCGGACCCAACCCTCAAGGCCAGGGTCCACCGCCAAGTCAGGAAGGGGCACCTGAAGGAAGAAGAAGAGTGCGAATGGATGTCCGTTACACGCGCCTGACGCCTCAGTCGTGGGAGGACATTTGCACTCTTCCGGAAAGAGACTTCGAGCAAGCCATGGAACGCCTTTCGAGGGAGATGAGAACGGGGTCGCATTCAGACACTGGCACCCTGTCAGATCACATTCCTCAAGGCTTGTTGGTGAGCACAGTGATAGATCAGTGTGATTGGAGCGTCAATCCAACTCTCACGCTGCACACGGAAAACGGTGAAGAAGTTCCGCTAGCAGATGTGCTGCGTTTCCATGAGGATGCTGCCGAGCCTGGCGTTCCGGTGGATCAGCGGTTCTTAATCTTCACGGTTTACGATAGGATTAGGGATGTAGTGGAGGTGATACTCATTGTTGCTCGCTTGGTCACGGAAGTAGAGGACCCTGTGGAAGCTGCCCGTGGGTCAGATCATCATGTTCCTCGACCGCCAGGGCCAGATCCACCTGCAATTAGAGCGGTGAGACTTCCACCTCATCTCTCGGAAGAAGTGCAACCAGCCGGCTCCAGTCAGCGTCGATCACTCTCTGTGATTCCCGTGGAGCGAGCGTGGCCGGCTTATCTTCCGAGCCTATCCAATTTGAGGTTCTCGAGCGCCGTTGCAAGGGAGGAGTCAGGGGATGCCAGCTCCGAGACTCCACGCCTCCGGGCAGTGTCAGAGTCGCTCTACACTGACAACCTAGAGTCAATCCTTGAAGAGCTTGAGAAGTGTGGAAAGCAGTTGGAAACCACGCATACTGCTCGCCCTTCTGAAGTTAAGCAACACCTTGAGAGGTGGGTAGAGGCCATGCGTGCAGAGCTGGAAGGGCATCTTGAGATCGGGTCTCTTACCAGACATGTGGGAGAGGAGGCAAGGTCTCTTCTGAGTACTCCAGGCGCAGAGGTGCTGCCGGCTCTGGCAGTTTACACTGCGAAGCCTCCCAAGGCGGGGAGCAAGAAAGCCTACAGGCGCAAGTGCAGGGCCGTAGCGTGTGGAAACTTCACCGAAATCACCAGTGAAGAGAACACCTATAGCGCCGGTGCACAAGCAGAGGCGGTGAGGATTGCGCTGGCGGTGGCCAGTGGAGAGCCCTGGGCAGCGTATGTCACCGACATCTCCCAAGCCTTTCTGAGGGCACCGTTGCCTGACTTGGAGCGTCTCATTCTGCTAAGGCCGCCAGCCCACTTTGTACTGGCAGGCATTTGCCAGGCTTCCGAGGTCTGGCGTGCCAGACGTGCAGTTTATGGTTTGAGGGAAGCACCGAAGTGGTGGAGTGACTATCGAGATCGGGTCTTGAGCCAAGCAAGTTGGGATTGTGACGGAGAAGAGATGCACCTTGAGCAACTTGAGGGTTCTGTATGGTTGCTTAAGGATAGGAATGGTCAGAGAAGGGGCATTGTGGTTGTCTACGTTGACGACTGCTTGGTGTTGTCCACCTACGAGCAAGCAAGGGACTTCCATGCCTACCTGAATGAGGTTTGGGAAACCAGCCCGTTGGAGAGCTGCCAAGAAGTAGGGGATATGGTTCAGTTTCTGGGCATGAATATCACCAAAACCGCCTCAGGTTTCTCACTAGGTCAGCAGCCCTACCTCAACGACTTGATGGCCAAGTATGATGTGCACTCCTCCAGCCCTCAGACGGTTCCTCGAGACTGGATTAAGGAGGAGCCAGAACAACAAGAGTATGATGGAGCAGACCTTCGTAGGGCGCAGTCCATCGTGGGTGAGCTCTTGTGGGTAAGTCAGAGGACCAGGCCTGACATCAGCCACACCACAGCTCTTCTGGCGTCCTGGTCCACCAAAGACCCGTCCCTGGTGTACAAGCTAGGCATCAGGATGCTCCACTACTTGTATGGGACTCTTGATCATCAGTTGGTGATTGAGGCCAGCCCAGGCGAGGAGAACCTTCAGTGCTTTACTGATGCGAGTTTCTCTCCGTATGGCTCTCGGTCCTATAGTGGGATAGCGATTAAGTTTCGGGGTTGTTTGGTCCTTTGGCGTGCAACAAAGCAATCCTTGATCACCCTGAGTTCGTCCGAAGCGGAGCTCATCGCCGCGACAGAGGGGATCGTCCTGTCGGTAGGTGTACGGGAGGTGCTTCAGCAAGTCATCGGAAGGTCTCTCGTGATAGACCTTTTGGTTGACAACACCTCCGCGCTTCAACTTCTGCAAGGTCGAGGGGCCAACAGGACTCGCCACTTGCGCATCAGAAGCAACTTTGTCAAGGAACGTGTTGATGCCAAAGAGATCACTCTTCTGCATGTACCGGGAGAAACCCAGCAGGCAGACCTTCTGACCAAGGTTTTACCGGGGCCCCGTCTGAAGTTTCTGCGTGGGCTAGTCGGCTTGCAAGGCCTTGAAGAGGGTGAACCGCATGTGGTTCAAGCAGCCAGTGTCCAGCCAAGGGGTTTGGATAATCTTCAGGGCTGGCTGTTCTTCTTGATCTCATGCATTCAGGCCTATACCGCTGACGGACAGGAAGAAGACCTGGCAAGACTGGAGGTTGATCCTCCATATGAGCTGATGTTGCTAACTGCCTTGGTTGTGCTCTCTGTCCTGGCCGTGTGGGAAGGTGGCAGAGGTCTGGTGAACTGCTGCGTTACCAGAGCCAGACCTCGGGTTCGGTCTGTGACGACCACGAAGGGTAAGTCGGTTGAAGATAGGGTTAAGGAGGCAATCAAGAAGGAGCTTGGGGAGCAAGGGGTGAGGCAGGACCATGGATTGGTCTCAAGGGCCAGAGCTCTACGTGTGGATCCCAGTTCATCCTCTGGACAGGTCGCTCCTCCCCTCCAGGTTTCAGCTCCTCCCACCGTGGTGCCTCCGCCACCAGTGAGCACCTATCGCGGAAGGGCTTCTTCGTCGTCTCAAACTGATCATGTCCGTACAATCGGTACCCAATGCCGATCGACACAAACGGATATTCCATATCCAGGAGATTTGCCTACCGGAATCCCCATCCATCAGGTGTGCACCACTATGCAGCGAGGTGGAGTTGTTCATCTCTATGGCGATTGCCCTACCTTAGGAGCGCCTGCGTACAGGCAAACCCGTGCCTTTTGCCAAAGGTGTTTAGGAAGGTATGGGCTTCAGTGACTGCCGCCAAGGTGGGTTTGATATCGGGGTAGCGGTCAGAGCTTCATGAGGGGTAAAGCTGCCCTAACGGTTGCTTGAAGGAGGAGTGTTAAAGACACTCTTCCCGCTAGCCCTTTTCCGTCAAGTGGCGTAGCAACGTAGGATGACAACCGCTGATGAACTTGCACATTCCACATCAGCAGACATCCAACAGCCCTAGATCGTTGCTTGTGAGTGCGAAAAGGAATTTTAGGTAGGAGCGCTTGATGGGCCTCTGGTAAATCCTAAGCTTCGACTACCAGTTGAAGGTGTCCTACGACAAGTTGATCTTCAAGACCACCAATAATTATATGATATTATATTATATGATATGATATTATTGTATTATATTATATTATATTATATTATATTATATTATATTATATTATATTATATTTTGCTATATTATATTATATTATATTATATTTTATTTTGTTTTATATATAAGATAAAAACATGTACATACTGTTCGTAACCCGAGCCGTAGGGTTCCTGATGTGGAATGAAACTAAAACATAGTCGTTACAGGCCCCCATGTCACGATCCGTCTTAGACACAAACAAGCGTAAACAATCTTTAGTAAGCGAGATGGCGGTTTATTAGCCAGAGGTCTACATTAGGCATGCGGCGTTTATCGAGTGACGATGTCTAGGGAGTGACACTGTGGGATGATTTGTTTATTCCCCCTTTGTGATCCCCCAGAGCGAACCAACAGCGTTCATTCAGAGATACTCTTTTGTTTATGAGTTCTGGGGGCCCTTACTTACACCCTAAACCTTAAAACCTTAAAACTCTAAACTCTGAGCCCTATAAACCCTAAAAAAGCTTGTAACCGAGATTAAGATGTAAGATATTATCATTATTGTTATTCGTATTACCATTAGTATCATACATGGCTATCGGTCTGAGTGTAAACCGTAAACCCCCTGGCCCCTGTATTATCCATGAGGGCTTTAGGGGTCTAGGGTAATTATCGAAAGGATTGACGGCTTACGGTATAAGGGTGAAGCTTTAGGGTCCAGGATCGACCACATTCTGAAGATTCAATGCGTTTTGGGAGCATTTTGGGACTGTCGTCCCGGCGCTGCAGAATTCTCATCAATGGCTACTGCCCTTTGCAGTCTTGCAACCGCAGGCATCTTGACTTATGCTTGCGGTTCCAGACATGCATTGAAACTCCCAATTGTTGGTTCAATCGACGCTCCCCGCTTCCCGTGGTTGTTGCATGTCACTTGCGTGCCAGCACGCAGAAAGTCTGTATGCCATATCACCCGAATTCCCAAACCGAGTGGTTTGGGGTGCAGGTCCGTGGCATTACCGATCCCATTAGCCCTTTTGAGCTGGAGTTTAGGGATTTGTAGGCGGGTTTAGAATTTGCATGTTAAGCAGTTTCATGGTTTGCAAGTTATGGCTTAGCTTGGTACGAAGGCTTACATAAATCAATCCTAAACCCAAAGCTGAGCCCCAAAGTTTTACGCCCAAATCTCTGAAGGTTCTACACCCCCAAATGCTGCAACCCTGAACCCCTACTTGTAACCCCAAACCCGTCAACACAGCAGGTCAGGACGCCTGCAACCCAGGGTGTAGCCTTCGAGAACGGTCGGGTTTCGGATCCACGATTAGACCCGAAAGCCTGCAATGCGGAAGCCTCAGGCCCCTAAGTCCTGCAAGCCGGAATTCCTCAGCCATGCACCCATAAAGCCTGGAGCCCGTAAACCCATAAACCTAAGCCCGGACATCTGTAAACCCAAGATTTAAAACCCCAAAATCTGTAAGCCCGAAACCCTGAACCCTTAAACCACTCCTTGTTCCCCTACGCCCAAAACCTGAGACCCCGTATAAGCCCCTAAACCCCCAAACCCTGTACTCCTGAACCGCTAAACCCCCGAAGCCTTTCCTGCATCCCCGAACCCTACAAAGTACGAGGTTATGACCCTCAAAGACAAGAGAGGGTATAACACTGAAAACAGTAGTTAAACCTGAACCCTAAACCCTAAACCCCCTAACCCTGTATTTATAGACCCCCTAAACTCCTAAACCCCCGAAACCCTAATCCTAACCCCCGAAACCCACTAAACCCTAAACCCTCAACCCCAAACCCTAAACCTTAAACCCTAAACCCTAAAACCCTAAACCCTAAACCCTTTCGGGACCCCCAGGTTAAACCCTTAAAGGGAACTCCAGAAAGTTGGAATATGGTTTCAGGGTAGAATACCTCATACTTTACCATAGAAGGGTTAGGATAATCATATTCCAACTTTCTGGCTTCTACCTTAAGCCTCGAGAGTCCGGACTCCGAGGCGGCCCCACGGCCCAAGTCGCCGACCGCCTCCTCCGAGGCCTTTTTGTTCGGGGTTTGGGGGTGTTTTGCTTTTTGGTGGTTTGAGGTTTAGTTTTTTTTGTAAGGGTGTTTTAGGGGTTTAGGTTTTTTTTGATGTTTAGGGCCTGTTAGGGGTTTGGGGTGTTTCAGGTGTTTAGGCTTTTTTAGGGGTTTGGGTTTTTGTTAGGTGTTTACGGTTTTTTAGGGGTTTAGGGGTTTTAGTGGTTTGGGGTTTAGGGCTTTGTTGTTTAGGTGTTTAGTTTTTTTCAGTGGTTTGGGGTTTAGGGATTTTGTTTGGTTGGTAGGGGTTTAGGGTGTTTTTGAGTTTTGTTGGTGTGTTTAAGGGTTTAGTGTTCCCGAAAGCATCGCGAAGGGTTCTTCCGGGCGGAGCCGGGTGGATGAGTGCATAGATGACAGACATAGAATCAACTTACTTGACTCCATACTTTACTTCACTCTACACTTGATACTTGACTCTACACTTGATACTTACTTACTTACTTACTTACTTGACCTCTATGACTGATTCTCTACACTTGACACTTGACTCTATGATACTTGACTCTACACTTGATACTTGACTCTATGTTATGCTTACGACTTACTTACTTACTTAGTTACTTCACTCTACTTACTTACTTACTTGACACGTACTTACTTACTTACTTATTACTCTTACTTACTTACTTACTTGACGCTATGCCTCTATGACTGACTCTCTATGCCTCTATGACTTACTCTCTACATCTCGGTATCTAATTAATTCTCTCTTCTAAAGCCAGGGGTGGCACCGTTGTCGTCCATCGGGAATGCAACCCTTCCCAGGGATTCGCCTCCTGGGGCGTTCAAACGCTAGGTAAAGTGACACATTTTAGGGTTCCCGCGCAACCCTTCCCAGGGATTCGCTGCCTCGGGCGTTCAAACGCTAGGTAAAGTGACACATTTTAGGCGCACCGCGCAACCCTTCCCAGGGATTCGCTGCCTCGGGCGTTCAAACGCTAGGTAAAGTGACACATTTTAGGCGCACCGCGCAACCCTTCACAGGGATTCGCTGCCTCGGGAGTTCAAACGCTAGGTAAAGTGACACATTTTAGGCGCACCGCGCAACCCTTCCCAGGGATTCGCTGCCTCGGGCGTTCAAACGCGAGGTAAAGTTACACATTTTGCGGTTCCCGCGCAACCCTTCACAGGGATTGGAACTCTCGGGCGTTCAAACGCGAGGTAAAGTTACACATTTTAGGCGCGCGGGTGAACCCTTCACAGGGATTCGCCTCCTCGGGCGTTCAAACGCGAGGTAAAGTTACAATTTTTTCGGGCGCCGTGAACCCTTCACAGGGATTCGCTTCCTCGGGCGTTCAAACGCGAGGTAAAGTTACACATTTTGCGGGCGCCGCGCAACCCTTCACAGGGTTTGGGCCAGCTCAACTGCATTTTGCAACCCTTCACAGGGATTGGCATTTTGCAACCCTTCACAGGGATTGGCATGGTCGAATGCACGAACGCTAGGTAAAGTTGCATTTTTTGATGTGCATTGAAATGAATTTTGCAACCCTTCACAGGGATTGGCGTGGTCGAGTGTTCGAACGCGAGGTAAAGTTGCAATTTTTTATGTGCATTGAAATGAATTTTGCAACCCTTCACAGGGATTGGCGTGGTCGAGTGTTCGAACGCGAGGCAAAGTTGCAATTTTTGATGTGCATTGAGATGAATTTTGCAACCCTTCACAGGGATTGGCGTGGTCGAGTGTTCGAACGCGAGGTAAAGTTGCAATTTTTGATGTGCATTGAGATGAATTTTGCAACCCTTCACACAGATTGGCGTTGTCGAGTGTTCTAACGCGAGGTAAAATTATTACTTTTGATGTGCATTGAGGTGAAACTTGCAACCCTTCACAGAGATTGGCCTTGTCGAGTGTTCGAACTAGTACTAGTACTACTACTACCACTACCACTACTACAACTATTATTACTACTACTACTGCTACTACTACCACTACTACAAAAGAATACTACTACTACTACTACTACTACTACTACTACTACTACTACTACTACTACTACTACTAGTACTACTACTACTACTACTACTACTACTACTACTACCACTACTACTGCTACTACTGCTACTACTGCTACTACTACTACTACTACTACTAGTACCACAACAACAACTACAACTACTACTACTACTACTACTACTGCTGCGACATAAAGTGACCATGCATAGAGTCATAGAGTCACGTTGAAACCACAGTAACAGGGATGTCTATATAGTGAGGTTCCGGAGCTAGGAAAGGAAGACTTCTGCGTCATGTTGGACTATACCCTAAACCCGCTAAACCTGAACATTAGTGTTCATAGAGTGAACTACATCAAGTCAAGTGCGTGGTACATAGATGACTCCATGACTCTATGACTCTTTCTCACTCTGACGCTATGACTCTATAACACTGTGACTCTATGATTCTGTCTCACTGTGACTCTATGACTCTATATGACTCTATGACTCTTTGAACTATGACTTGTGCTTGACATGTACTCGACTCTATTTCTCGATGACTCTATGAACTATGACTTGTACGACTCTTGACTGTATGTGACACTCCGACTCTGTGACTCCGTGCTTTTGACTCGGTGACTCTATGACCCTATACACTGGATTCTATGACGTAGCGCAACACTCTTCGCTGATGATGCTTTCGGGCCAATTGTCTTCTAGTTTTTGGGGGTTCTGGGTTTAGGGTATTGTTTTTGTTTGTTTCAGTGGTTCAGGGTGTTTTAGGTTTAGGGTGTTTTTTGGTGTTGGGGGTTTTTAGGACCTTGGAGACGCTGCCTGAGATTGCTGAAGCCAGCACGGATGAGTGCAAGCAATACTCGCAGCAGCAGGTGCCAGACCAGGAAGTGCTGGAAGAGCTCCTTAACCAGGAGACCGAGCCGGGTAGTTTGCTTTCATGCAAATGCCAACCCATGAATCTCAGCAGCACCTTGCATGCGGCTGCGAAGCAGTTGGGCGGCCCTCCGAAGGACCTCAGCGAGGCCTGCGACGCATTGTGGAGACTGCTGTTCCGCTTGCGCAGTGCTCCAGGAGGCTGCGATGAAGGATTCCTGGCCAGCCCATCGAACCCCAGGACCCCAGAAAGATCCGGACGTAAACTCAACTGGCACCAACTCTTCGAGTGCGAGCTCAGCATCATCAACCCGCTACGGGCAACGCCCGCCCATCGAGCTTCCAGGCTGCAAGCTTGGCGGGACATGCCTTCGGAGAGAGCTGCAGAATGCACCATCAGTTCCTGCAGCACTCGAATCAGGAGGCATTGCCATGATCTCCTGCCCCAGCACCTCGCAATGGCGGGCTGTGGTCATCACTACCGTGTTCCGCATGCGTGCTCAACAAGACCACATTCCAGCGCCTGTGGACGCTTTCCATTCTTTCCTTGCTTTGTACATGGATCCCCAAGATTCTGAGGCCAGCGAGAGCACGACATGGCTGGCAGCCTCCACCTCCATACCCGTTGTTTTGCCACTGGAACGACTGGCAGTGTTGCTGGAGGTCGCTGAACAGAACTGTGGAAACATCGCCTGTGTCTTTGAAAGTATATATAGTCGGACCATGTCGAAGTTTAGGTAGGATGTCTTACCATCGTGTGCACTGACCTGTTATGCGTTGATGCTGTGGGCAGGAGTGCGCCGTGGATGGTTTGTGCGTGACTCTGGGTGGCCCCAGCGCTGAGGCCATTGCCGTGTTCGGCAGCTTGGAGTCATTCCCGAGCACTGGGGCTTGCCTGACAAGAAATCCAAGCAGAAAAGGCAGATGCAGAGCAGAAAGCTGCAGCCAAGGCCAAGGCATCCAAACTCCGCGCAAAGGACGAAGCTCTCTTTCCATGCAGCGCTTGGTTCGCGCTGATGGCTGCGTCCATGTCCCCGGAGTTTCCTTGCAATGGAAGACTGTACTCGCAGACTGCCCAAAGTTTTTTATAAGGTAGAATTTATGTCGGTCAAAAAAGATCGACGTCTCAGATGGAAAAGAACCCCCGTTCCAGGACCAGTTTAGTTTCAAGCACCTCGTGCGAACAATACCCAACCTGGCAACCATTTAGACCAGAGCAGCTGCTTGAGCACAGCAATCGGGGTGGAGCTGGGCAGACGGGCGAACAGGAAGCTTCCGTGCTGAGACAGTGTCAGGTTTAGATCTTCTGGAGGGTTCCGGCAAGAGAGTGAAGCAGACTGGATGCTGGAATCGAAGCCCAGAAGCAACCCTGATGTCTTCCATCTGCACATGCCGCTCAAGGGTGGTACCAAGAAGAAAAGCTTGGCTTCGTCCCAGACCCGCAAGGTGAATGGCCTTGCCTGTAAATACCGCACTTCCGTTCAGGACCGTAAGCATGCTTTTGCTGATTATGCCACAAGTTGGGTCATGATTTTGGGGCCTCTGGATTTTAAGCCGGCTGAAGAGACGGCCTCGTGCACTGAACGCTTTATCGGACCTCTCTTTCGGCCGGGTGCCTTTGGCACCTCGATGTTGCAAACCATGCAACACATGTGCCTATGCGTACATTGCTTACCAGTCGTCCTGTTAGCATAGTCAGCATGGAGAACTCTGTGATTCGGGTGCAAATAGCTTAGCTTGAAGCTTGCTGGCAAGAGCCGTGAAGCACATGCTTCGGTCCCATGAGGTTGTGGGGCATTTGTCGCGTGTAAGCTGTCAGTGCACTTAAATACCCTGGCAATCTGGTGCCTTGGGCCTATGTTGGGACAACATTGCAACTGTTGGTTCGCAAAGACTGGTTTGATCTATGCCGCATTACAAATAATGTTTCAGAATTTTAAGATGCTGCAAGTGTTTTGCGGTTTGGTTGTTGCCCTTTGGTCCGCTTGTGGTCGTTCGTTCGTGTGTGTGTGTGTCTGTGTGTCTGTGTGTGTCTCTGTGTGTCTCTGTGTGTCTCTGTGTGTCTCTGTGAGTCTGTGTGTGTGTGTGTGTGCGGGTCTGTGTGTGTGCGTGTGTGTGTGTTTGTATGCGTGTGCGGGTCTGTGTGTGTGTGTGTGTGCGGGTGTGTGTGTGTGTGTGTGTGTGTGTGTGTGTGTGTGTGTGTGTGTGTGTGTGTGTGTGTGTGTGTGTGTGTGTGTGTGTGTGTGTGTGTGTGTGTGTGTGTGTGTGTGTGTGTGTGTGTGTGTGTGTGTGTTTGTGTGTGTGTGTGCATGTGTGCGTGTGTGCGTGTGTGCGTGTGTGCGTGTGTGCGTGTGTGCGTGTGTGCGTGTGTGCGTGTGTGCGAGTGTGCGTGTGTGCGTGTGTGCGTGTGTGCGTGTGTGCGTGTGCGCGTGTGTGCGTGTGTGCGTGTGCGTGTGCGTGTGCGTGTGCGTGTGCGTGTGCGTGCGCGTGCGCGTGCGCGTGCAGGTGCGGGCGCGCGTGCGCGTGGGCGTGGGCGTGGGCGTGGGCGTGGGCGTGGGCGTGTGCGTGTGTGCGTGTGTGCGTGTGCGTGTGCGTGTGCGTGAGTTTGGTTCCTCGCTGGCTCGCTCGCTTGTGTGCCTGCCTGGTCGCCTGGGTGTGCATGGGCACGGGTGCGGGTAAGGGTAGGGCGGGTTGGGGTAAGGGGGTATAGGGGTAAGGCTATAGGGCTAGGGGTACGGGCTTGCACAGGCGCATGGGTGTGGGTGGGTGGTGGGTGGGTGTGGGTTTGGGTGTGGGTGTAACCCCGTACTCCAAACCTTGATTCCCAAACCCCATTCCCAAATCCCCAAACCATTTGCCTTAAACCCTCAACTTTCCGGCCTCAGCCTTAAAGCTTAAACCAGACCTCAATTCCCAAACCTCAAACCCCAATGTCCCCAACCTTCTACTCCAAACCCTAAACCGATTGTTGCAGGTGCGGGATATCCTTGGTGGCCTCGTCGAGGATGACACTGAGAGTTCCTCTGAGGCGGATTCAGGGTTTGATCGAGGTTTCAGGGCTTAGGGTTTATGGTTCAGGTGTAAATAGGGATTCAGGGTTTAGGGTTTACTAAGAGTTTTAGGGTGTAGGGTGTATTGTTCAGGGAGTGGCAGGGCTTTTAGGGTTCACAGTTCTAAAAAGGATTTAGGGTTCAGATGCTTTTCTAGGGTTTCGTGTTGAGGGGTCTCGGGGTTTTGGTATTTCGGGCTGACGAATTAAGTTAGGGGTTTAGGGTTTAGGGTTCAGCGGGGTTTGTGGTTTTGGGTGGTTTGGCGGGCAGTATCCAACACCCTCACTCGTGTTATTCCTGCGGCCTCTTTGCACCCCGACCGTGCGGTTTGCAGACTTCTCATGTGCTGGTTTGACTACCTTCGCTCTTGCTAGCCTTTGCCTTCTGCGGATGTTTTTGGATTTTGCTATGAACTCTGACTTCAAGGGCTTTTACAGGCTGTCATTTCGTTTGCGGACAGAGGCGGCAAAGGTCTTTGGGGTGAGAATTTGGAGAGTCGTGGTTCAAGGGAGGACGAAGCTTCTGGGTGCACTTAGAGTGGTTCCTGCGGCTTGTTCGCCGTCACATCCAAGCCAACCGGCCCCCAAGAAAGCCCAATAGCCCCAAAGACTTAAACCCCCCCAACACGAAGCCCTAAGCCCTAAACCCAGCACTAAACCCGTAGCCCAACATTCAACACCCTCAACTCTAAACCCTAAGCCCATGAGTCATGAGCCCCCTTCCCTGGGACAGGAGGAAGTGGAAGCCGCCCCCGCCCCCGTCCGGGGCCGTGCTGAGAGCCTCATGAGCAAAGAATAATATCCCCAGGTCCGAGTCTTAAGGTTTAGGGGGTTTAGGCCTTAAGGTTTATTCACATATAATTCATAAACCCCACAACCAAAAACTACAATGCTGGAGTCCATAGAACTCCAGACCCTCTTGTCACGAACTCGGAGAATTAGGTAGGGTATTAGTACATTCCTGAAGTTTAAATTCAGGGTCGTTTAGGATTTAGGGTCTAGGGCTTAAGTCTTAGGGTCTAGAGTTTAAGTTTAGGGTTCAGGGTCTCGGGAATCAAACCACCAGTCACCTGTGATCTCGCAGAGCGAGCAGATGACGAGACCACTCCCCAAGACTCTCCCAGCGCTGCTGAATTGGCAGTGTGAAGAAACAGCGCCGAGCGACCGGTTGGGTTTCGGCTTTAGCCATGGGTTCCCTAAACCCTAAGCCCCAGAGCTTCAACCCTAAACCCTCATCCCTAAACCCTACACAACCTTAGGGCTGTCGGGATTTGGGGCAACTAGGATCAAGCTCAAGAGCCCGAGGTCATCTGGGGCTTCAGACAGTAATCGATAAACAATATGAGAGCTTCCGAAAACAGGGGACCCTACTATAGTACCCTAAATGATAGGATCCTGATTATAAAGACCCCACAACAAGGTACCCCTATTTTTCGGAAACGCCGATAATGGGAACCCGAAACCCTAGCGATGATCGTTGTTTGGGGTTTCGGGTCCTTTTCTTTTTCCAGACACCGTGGATCCGGAAGCCAAAGCCCTGACCAGCATCCCCCTGGAGGCCAAAAGCCTTGAGCCGGAGCTCTACAGACCCAGAGTAGGCCCTTATTCCTTTTTTGAGGGTTTAGGTTCCCTTATAACCCCCTTTACACCAAAAAGGGCACCCTTTTTATTCCTAGGTTACTCCTAGGTCCTGGAGCTCCACAGACCCAACCCTGAACCCTTAAAAGAAACCTCTAAACCGTCTAAACCCTAAATCCAGCATAACCCAACCCACCCGCAAACTGAAACCTCCCATGTTCGAATCTAGCGCCCGAAGGCTCCAAGTTCCACAAATTTGAGGGGTTTCGGATTTGGGTTAGTTTGGTTTCGCGTAGGGATCGGAATCGTGAATAAACGACTTTATAGAACCTGCCCAAACCCTATTCAAACTACTATCCTAATAATCCGAAGGACCCAATAACTCGCTACTTGGGTTCAGGATAGAGGTATTGTAGGTTAATGTCTCGCGCAGAATATGATTATCACAGATCATCAGGTACTTGGACCCATGGGTAAAGAACAGGGGTCGGAATATTTAGGAATATTATTCCCATGTAGTCGGTCTTGTAACACGTTCGACCCTACCAAAACCCCTCCAAGGTAGGTAAAGTAATTGCCCAACACCTATAGAAGGCCTTTATTCTACATGTTTTTGGGTTTCAGGTAATCATTACCCAGACAGCCGGGAGGATCTAAAAAGTAGATCCCTTAATGGGGGTTCCTATGAAGTACCTTTAGTAACTTAGTAGCACAGGGCCCCAAATTGGGGGATCTACGTTCTCGATTTTGCCGGGGGTCTGGGTAAGGCCTCTATGTTTGTGAACGTGCCTTTCTTCCCGAAGTCGCTGCTCGAGGCTCCCAGCGGGTCCACTCGTAGCAGCACCGCAGCTTTTCTAGAATGGCGGACATCACCTCTGAGAATTTTTAGCTGTGAGCCTTTCGGTGCTGCTCCGAAACACCTCAAAACCGCGACCCAAGCCCTGGCGCCGCCATTTCCCCGCCAACACAAAGCGTTACATTGAAGGCATAGTTTGGCATCTCCGGTCCTACCGCCCTCGACACCTAAAGGCCTGGCAAAAACGCACGATAAAGCCCTCTAAACCCTATAAGCCCTAAACCCTAAGCCCTGACCTCGCCGAACTGATGGTTCACTATCTTCCAGATGATGCAGAAGACGCTGATGACACAAGAGCAGCAGCTCTATCAGGAGACTTCTCAAGGGTTTAGAGTTTACCTGTATCCGCAAACCCCGCCACCATTGTAGGTCATGACCCCTTGATTACAGGGCCCAACCCCTAAAACAGTGGGTTTGTGGATGCCCAGGTAGGGTTTAGAGCAAGGCTTTGGGGTAGGCGGCGTTAGGGTTTAGATTCTTGGGTTTGGGACATCGGGATCAGTGTGTGAGCTGTGAAGTTTCAGAAGCGCTCGAAAGCTTGAGCCAATCCTTGTTGCTCCGCAGCTTAACAGCCCTTTGCCTCTCAGGTTTCGAAATAACAACCAGGG